TACATAATAGTTCCAGACTAGACACAACATTACGGACCGATGTGTTAATGATTCTTATTGTGTTTGTTGTTAGACATATGCATTCGGGCCACTAAAGTAAGCGCTTCGTCCCTATCTTCAGCGGCAAGCGCAAAGTTTCAGTTCCGAGGGTACCAGTAATAGTTTGATTGTAAACCCGTCTCGCCCCTCCCCCTGGTCATAGCCTCTGGTCACTCTATGCTCAACCATTCTCCTCAGACCGTGATGATCTATCGGTGTGTGCCTTTGCACTGTTCACTCGTTCACAAAGGGTCCCTTCAGCATCTCGCTTGTCATACAAACATTCACCACCAGGTGGTGCCGAATCAGCCAATCTATTTGTCTGTTCATTTTATAAACACACCGGGCCCGGCTCTCTAGCGAAGTTGGTTAAACCTGACTTTCGCGGCGGCCGGGTGACGAACTCCTTGTGGTCCGGGTTCACTCCCGGGGGTAGGCAGAAAAGCCACATTTCTCCCAGATTAACGGTACCTATAATGGAATCAATGCCGAAGGGTTGCGATATCCATAGTACCGAGCCAAAGGGTTTACAACTCATGGTTTCTGGATACGTAAAAAAAAAAAAAAAATAAATAAACACACCGGCATTCCCTTGACAACATGGGGCGCTAACAATCCTGGACCTCTGAAGCTATGCTTGTCACTCTGCATAGAGAATACCTGTCTCCACCTTTCACAGCATGCCCGATGAGTCAGTTACAATCACGACAGACGTGTGCAGCTGGTTCCTACCCCCCGTATAGCATAACAGTCCCGATCATCACAAAGAAACATAGTGTACAGCACATTCATTGTATGTTACTAATGCCAGATATGGTCACACAACAGACTAGAAAGGAAAATGAGTAACCATGGAAATGAGATTTCCACAAAGGGCTGCAGGAGTGATCATAAGAGATAAAATTAGGAATAAGGTTCTAAGAGAATAAGTCGGCATAGAACCAAATCTAAGTTACACACACAAGTGGCAGATAAAATGGTTTGCCGCTTACGAAGTAGCCTAAGTCCGGGATGAAATGGTTTGCCACTTACGACGTAGCCTAAGTCCGGGATGAAATGGTTTGCCGTTGACGACGTAGCCCAATTCCGGACTTGGTACTTTCCTGGTTTAAAAAAGTCTTCACGTTCAACCAGAAGATAGATAGATAGATAGATAGATAGATAGATAGATAGATAGATAGATAGATAGATAGATAGATAGATAGGTAGGTAGGTAGATAGATAGATAGATAGATAGATAGATAGATAGATAGATAGATAGATAGATAGATAGATAGATAGATAGATAGATAGATAGATAGATAGATAGATAGATAGATAGATAGATAGATAGATAGATCGATCGATCGATCGATCGATCGATCGATCGATCGATCGATCGATAGATAGATAGATAGATAGATAGATAGATAGATAGATAGATAGATAGATAGATAGATAGATAGATAGATAGATAGATAGATAGATAGATAGATAGATAGATAGATAGATAGATAGATAGATAGATAGATAGATAGATAGATAGATAGATAGATAGATAGATAGATAGATAGATAGATAGATAGATAGATAGATAGATAGATAGATAGATAGATAGATAGATAGATAGATAGATAGATAGATAGATAGATAGATAGATAGATAGATAGATAGATAGATAGATAGATAGATAGAAAGAACGATCGATCGATCGATCGATCGATCGATCGATCGATCGATCGATCGATCGATCGATAGATAGATAGATAGATAGATAGAAAGAACGATCGATCGATCGATCGATCGATCGATCGATCGATAGGTAGATAGGTAGATAGGTAGATAGGTAGGTAGGTAGGTAGGTAGATAGATAGATAGATAGGTAGATAGGTAGATAGGTAGATAGGTAGATAGGTAGGTAGGTAGGTAGATAGATAGATAGATAGGTAGATAGGTAGATAGGTAGGTAGGTAGATAGATAGATAGATAGATAGATAGATAGATAGATAGATAGATAGATAGATAGATAGATAGATAGATAGATAGATAGATAGATAGAAAGAACGATCGATCGATCGATCGATCGATCGATCGATCGATCGATCGATAGATAGATAGATAGATAGATAGATAGATAGATAGATAGATAGATAGATAGATAGATAGATAGATAGATAGATAGATAGATAGATAGATAGATAGATAGATAGATAGATAGGTAGATAGGTAGATAGGTAGGTAGGTAGGTAGGTAGGTAGGTAGGTAGGTAGATAGGTAGGTAGATAGGTAGGTAGATAGGTAGGTAGATAGGTAGGTAGATAGGTAGGTAGGTAGGTAGGTAGATACCTGTAACAAGCTAGAAGTGCACTAACACTACTTGTATGGAGCAGGCGGGGTGAATAACTGCAGACATCGCCATTACCCTCGCAAATAACTGGCGCTGACCCTTTCTCTAGTCTGACTTAGTTCCGTTGGTATATTGTTATAGCCTGTCGATTCCCAATTTCTTGGCTTTGTGTCACTGATCCTGCCTCCTCTGTTAAAGGATATAGTTCTTTCTCGTCTCTTTCGTATCCTCTCATATCCAATCATCGAGCATGTCATTGTGACACTATACACACAATACTCTTCCCGCATGGAGTGAAAATATTCATATTATATATATGTATCTTGTTTCTTCCTCCTCCTCTTCTTCTTCTTCTTCTTCTTCTTCTTCTTCTTCTTCTTCTTCTTCTTCTTCTTCTTCTTCTTCTTCTTCTTCTTCTTCTTCTTCTTCTTCTTCTTCTTCTGCTGCTGCTGCTGCTGCTGCTGCTGCTGCTGCTGCTGCTGCCGCCGCTGCTGCTGCTGCTGCTGCTGCTGATACCTTCTCCTTCTTCCTGCCTCTTTTCTTCTTCTCCTACTCCTCTTCCTCCTCCTTTCTCTCCTACGCTCGCCCTTGCTTTTTTTTTCTCTCTCCAGGTTCTGTATCCGGGTCTTCCTTGTTCTGCTTCTTCTTCTTTTTCCTTCTACTGAGCCCTGTATTATTGCTTTTTAGAGACCTTTTAGATTTTATTACATGTCCATACCTTTTTACTGTAGTTACAATATGTTTACACTTGTAGTCGGGTGATTGACGACACTGATAACTGAAATAGGACAACGTCTTTCTTAGCATGCCTGAGAGGTGACCAAGACGACTTGATACGATTTCCTAGCGTGAGCCAAAAGGCTTGACCATTTTGCCACAGAGACCCTAGTCATGGTAGCACTGAGGTTTAGTGGCTTGGGGCTTTGTCTCCATTATTGACAACATGGAAGAAATAAATACATTTATTAATTACTACTCTTGAAAAAGAAAAACTGCCGGAAAATGTAGATAAGAAGACATCATCATTATGTTGCAGGTTCTTACAGCAGGTCCATTCCATCACAGTCTGCTTGAAAGATACTCAGTTCCTAGCCGGCTTTTCTGCCTCTCACACTTTCCAGCCCAGGATGTCTCTTATGTCCATCTTCGTGCTGGTCGGCACCTGCCTCTCTTATCTGGCACCATGCAATTTACTACCGTTCTTTCTAATCTACTGTAGCATTTGATCTGACCAAATTATTTCAGTTTCCAAGACAGGATGCTGTTTACAAGCCAATTTGCCTTGATGTTCAGATCAGATGTCAAGGTCAGCTTCTGCTGAATTTAAAGATATGTACAAGCAGGACATGAATGATACAGGAATTGATGTGGATTTATGGGAACATGATACCATGGGTCATTTTGCTTGGAACTATTAAATTAGGAAGGACATTGGGACAAAGACAAGATTGCAGACAGATAAAGATCTGAAGGTCAAATAAGAAACATGCCAGGTCCATGTGATGGCAGCAACAGTTGTACTTCTTGTGGAAGATTGCTCTTAAAACCCTCAGGTCTTGCTAGTCACACTTGTGGGAGATTGCTCTTAAACCTGTGGGTCTTGCTAGTCACACTTGTGGGAGATTGCTCTTAAACCTGTGCTCTTAAACCTGTGGGTCTTGCTAGTCACACTTGTGGGAGATTGCTCTTAAACCTGTGGGTCTTGCTAGTCACACTTGTGGGAGATTGCTCTTAAAACCCTCAGGTCTTGCTAGTCACACTTGTGGGAGATTGCTCTTAAAACCCTCAGGTCTTGCTAGTCACACTTGTGGTAGATTGCTCTTAAAATCCTCAGGTCTTGCTAGTCAGACTTGTGGGAGATTGCTCTTAAAACCCTCAGGTCTTGCTAGTCACACTTGTGGAAGATTGCTCTTAAAACCCTCAGGTCTTGCTAGTCACACTTGTGGTAGATTGCTCTTAAAACCCTCAGGTCTTGCTAGTCACACTTGTGGAAGATTGCTCTTAAAACCCTCAGGTCTTGCTAGTCACACTTGTGGAAGATTGCTCTTAAACCTGTGGGTCTTGCTAGACACACTTGTGGAAGATTGCTCTTAAACCTGTGGGTCTTGCTAGTCACACTTGTGAGAGATTGCTCTTAAACCTGCGGGTTTTGCTAGTCACACTTGTGGGAGATTTCTTTTAAAACCTGTCGGTCTTGCTAGTCACACTTGTGGGAGATTGCTCTTAAAACCTGTCAGTCTTGCTAGTCACACTTGTGAGAGATTGCTTTTAAACCTGCGGGTTTTGCTAGTCACACTTGTGGGAGATTTCTTTTAAAACCTGTCGGTCTTGCTAGTCACACTTGTGGGAGATTGCTCTTAAAACCTGTCGGTCTTGCTAGTCACACTTGTGGGAGATTGCTCTTAAACCTCTGAGTCTTGCTAGTCACACTTGTGGGAGATTGATCTTAAATCCCTGGGTCTTGCTAGTTACACTTGTGGGAGATTGCTCTTAAACCTCTGAGTTTTGCTAGTCACACTCACTGTAGCCATGTGTTGGGATTCCCATGCCTGTCTGTAGCAGAGTATAACAATGTTAACTGGAAATTCAGAAAGATGCCAGCTATGTCAAATGTGGGGCATTTTGATCGTTTCAGTGAGTGTTGTCATAGGAATACCAACTATAAAGAGAGCTAAGGAGTCTTATCTGGTCAAGACCCTGTCTTCACTGGTTGCTGGTCTCAGCAAAGAGGAGAGTGAGGATTGCTTGATTGTTGTCTTCATCGCTGAGGTAAGAGCATTGTCTGTACTGTAATTACTGTTCTTTACATTGCTGTTACTGTTCTTTATATAGCTGTTACTGTTCTTTACATAGCTGGTACTGTTCTGTACACTGCTTTTACTGTTCTTTACATGGCTGTTATTGTTCTTTACTCTGCGGTTAAAGTACTTTGCTCTGCTGTCACTGTACTTTATGCTGCAGTTAATGTACTTTATGCTGCAGTTACTGTACTTTATGCTGCAGTTACTGTACTTTATGCTGCAGTTACTGTACTTTATGCTGCAGTTACTGTACTTTATGCTGCGGTTACTGTACTTTATACTGCTGTTATTGTGGTCTACACTGCTGTTACTGTACCTTACCTTACTGTTACTGTACTTTACACAACTGTAACTGTACTAGACACAACTATAACTGTACTCGACACTGATAGTGGTGGGAGATTTTAGGTCTGGCAAGTTAGCAGTTTGGCGGAAACCAGGCAGTATGAATCAGTAGAAGAGTCACACCACATCCCTTCACAAAGGCTTGTGTCCTTCTTATCTGAAAATAAACCACTTAGAGAATGGAAAAAAAAAAACCAGAAGGCTACAACTTTCACTTTGAATTATATCTTATGTATACAATATATATTTTGTATGTTGTTTTAAACAGAGACTTACTGATTCTTTTATAAACTCCATGTGACCCTCTTTTTTCTTCAGCCATGGGACAGGCAGTATGTTGAGCAGGTTATATCAAGTATCAAAGACAAGTAAGTGATTTTTGTGTGTGGAAGGTCATTTTTATGTAGTAAGTTATTTTCATGTATAGAGTGATTTTGAAAATGAAGTATTTTCCATGCAGTCAATGTTTGTCAATCGAGGTGAGGGAAAGCATTCTTAATAGCTACATAATTCCAATCCTGATATGCAGAAGTAAATCATGGACAGTCAACCAATTAGTGAACAATTATGTGGAAGTGGCAGAGGCATGGATTTATAGATGAAATATGGACACAGTATGGTCAGATAAAAGAATAATGTAAAAGCCTTGAAAGAAATTATTGCACTATGAGAATGGGAAAGCAAATACATTGTGCTAGTAGAAAAGCTGGAGAGGTAGAGTGTAAAGGAAAGACCAAAGAGAGGAGATGTTGAACAGTTTGACATTTTACTTGATGAGTACGCTCAGGAAGATAGAAAAAGGGCTGGGTCTAAAGGCAGTGGTTGGTGGCTCTACAACATTCACGGCTGACAAGGATTAGTTTCATTTTCCTGCCAGAACATGTGCGGGTACAAGGAAATGAGCAAGCTGATAGACTTGCAGGTGGGGCTACTGTGAAATCTTTTTTTTTCCTCTCTTTGTTTTTCTTTCTGTTGGCAATCTTGACACATGTTCGAACCATTTGAGCTGTTGTCTCTTGATGTAGTTAAATATTGGTTTTGTCCCAACTTGTTTCCGGATATTGTCATTTCTGATCCCATCCCTCTTCTTTTAAATCACAATTAGTTAAAATTACTAGCATTATAGGGGTTATTAAACTGCAATGGTTGGGGCTATAAAGAAAATACCAGATAACAGAAGGATAAAAATTGCGTACACAGAAGAGTTGAATGGGCGAAGACCACAAAACTGATGAGGATGGTGGAGAGTTAATATACTTGAAAGAGAAGGCCAGTCAGAGACATGCATGGAAGCAAGTGATATCTGCAGCAATGAGTCTCAAGGGCTCAGAATGTTGAAGAAGAAGCTTTCTATTTTTTAAATATTTTTCAAATATTTTCACTTTTCCTCGTTGCATACAATGCTTAGACACAGAACTGTCATATAGTGTCAGTTTAGAATTGTGTCATACAGTGTCTCTTTAGAATTATGTCATAAAATAATAGTTATAAATTCTGTCACACATTTTCAGTGTAGAATTCTGTCATACAATATAAGTTCCAAATTACATCAGACAGTGCCAGTTAAAAATTATATCACAAAATAATATCAGGTTAGAATTCTGCCACAGTATTTTCACTTTTCCTCATTCCATGCATTGCTTAGACATAATTCATTAGATTATCATTTTGCCTGATTGAAGTTGACAAGCTAAGGCCACATTTCAGCCAAAGTATTGATTAAGTAAAACATAAATCCATGAACTTTTTGCTGCCAATAGCTGTATTCATCTTATATCTTCCTCTTACATAGAGCTAATGAATCTTTTATCATATGTAGCATTTTTTTTTCTTTCACATACATTTGTAGTGTTCCATTATTCTGCCTGCAATATTTTCCTTACAGAAGAGTGCACTTTTGAAGCCAAGCATAAGCACATTATGTTTGATTAATTGCATAACTATGGCAGCGTTGATTTTCTTTTATGAATCAAATGCATTCAGCTTCTGTTTTGATTCTTAACTTTGGTTGTAAATTCATTAAAGCATGTTCAGTTAAACAAATACCATTTAGTTCATAATCGAAACCACTACTAATTACCGGAATTACGAGGGATTTTAGACTGCAATGTTTGGTGCTTATAGATAGAATGGCAGATAATAGAGAGACAAAAACTGTGCAGTCGAAAGAGTGGATTGGGAGGGGACCACATGATAGACCAAGAAGATAGGGGAGAATAACGCAGGCAGATCTACAAATATTTAGGTGTTACTAACTGGAAAGAGAAGGCAGTCTAGCCATGAATGGAGGTGGGTGATATCAACAGTAGTAACATCAAGGGCTCAAAATGTTGAACAAGCAGAAGAAGAAGAAAAAGAAGAAGTTAACAGAACTTATACAATTCTAAATTGCCCTTGTCCCCATGGGGATTTTCTGAGGCCCCGTATGGGATGGAGGGACCAGACCCAATGCCCTTTCAAGAGCTTGCCATAAAAGGCAGCTATAAAAGGTTTTGAACAAAGAAGACACAAAGAATAGATTGCACACTTTATAGCCTGGCATATTTCACGGTATCTTGTCAGGTGCATACTACAGTAACAAGTGATTAAAATGAAGCAAATAAATGAATCCTTTGAACTGGAACACAAAATCGACTACATTCACAAACTGTCTGTTTCACCAGGGAAACTGTAAATTAAAGACCATTCCTTTTGTCTGCATAATTCTGGACTAAACCGGCTGATAGCTGACACTTCTACAAATTTCAGTAATCTGTAGAATTTGCGTAAGCATCAGCTATCAGCCTGTGGATTGGAAGGTCATGGGCCCGAGTTCTGACAGGGGCCAGGCTTTTTTTTTTAAATTACCTTTGCTCCCAGGTGGACTCAGCCTTGAGTGGAACCAAGTTACAGTCCTGGGAAGTAAAGGAGGCCGGCGTGATTCTGACCACATCAACCACCAAGTGCTGTTTGGTCTATAAAATAAAGGTCTACCCCTATATACCCAAAACGCCTGTAGATGTGGAAAAGGATCCTTTACTTTCTACTTTTGATCCCTTAAGAGCATGCCATAAAAGGCGATCAATTATTAATTGTTAGCCCAAACCAGATGAGTTGGGCTGAAATGTGCAGATATTGGGTTCTGGCTGTAAACTACACATAATATGCCAGCCGCACCTTTAATGGTGGGTGCGGAAGGGAAGAAGCAGAATTCTAAATGTACTCTTTTCACACTGTTCTTACATCATGCATATTATGATATTATCCATATTTGTATAGGTCAGTAAGCACTTGGTGGGTGATGTCATCAGCATCATGCCAGCTGCCTTTTCTTCCAAGGACATTTTCTAGTACCTTTTTAGGCTTGGTCGACCTGGGATATTTGCTGTGTGGATTTTCATCTTCTTCTTCTTCTTTTGTCATCTCACTGATACCAGGTTGTAGCCCAATGTCGTGGTTAGCTGTATTTATTTTGCGCTTCTTGGGTGGCTTTGTTGATAGATTTGTTTGTCTTTTTGCAGGTTTCTCCTACATCATTTATCCGTCTCTTTCTTGGTCTTCCTCTCGCTATCCTCCCAGATATTCTACTGTAAAAAGTCTCACATGCAGTTTGTCCTAGCTGCATTCTCACTAGATGGTTGAACCAATTCATTCTTTGTCCATCAGTATAATCCAGACAGTCTTATTCAGACTTTCTCTTTAATACTTGTATTCGTAAGCCTGTCGATTTTTGTAGTGTTGATGACCTTGCGCATTTCACATGTAGTTACTTTCTGTTCTAGTTTGTTAATGCTGCCGGTCCCATGTTCGCAAAAGTCTGTCCTATTTGTATTCAAAATGTCTTGTGTAGTAGCAGTAAGTTACACCTCTGCCGGCTTGCTGACCTGGTTGATGGGTTTTGATACATTTATGATTTTTGTCTTTTTAGATGGATGTTAGGTTAGTGAGTCATTAGTTGCAGTTATCATTACATGGCAAGGGTCAGCCTCCATAAATGTAATTACATTTTCCGATGTTTAGTTTTAAGAAATAAAGTCCAACTTATACGCTTTGGAAAGAGCACATGGAAGTTCCTTACATCTCTCCCAACATACTGATGAGGTAATAACTGGAGGAAGTAAAGAACGAGAATACCCAGCAAACAATTGGTTGTGTTTGTTCCTACTCATCCTGTATTCTTTCTGCCAAGTGCAAAATTAAATAACTAAAAGACCCATTTTATGCCTTAACCCTTTTGCCTGTGACAGTAAAAAAATTTTTTAAGGGTCCCAACATTGTGGGAATTCTGAAAAAAAAATCCTTTAAAAAAAAACTAACATTTTATGTTGGTTACAAATCAGTTTTGTACACAATTTATTTGTGTACATTTTTAATATATGTTGGATGTAGATAGAAAATGTGAAAGAAATTGCTCATTGGTACTAAAAGAGTTAAAGCATTTAACTCTCTGAGTCCCAGTGAACGTAAAATACATTCATAAGTTCCTACCTACAAGCCCAGTGAATGAAAGATAAGCCAATTTTACATTTCTTTTGACAACCCCTTGGGTCTCTGATGCTAAACCTCCTGAGACTGAAAGAGAACTGCTTTTTTTTTTCTTTATGACAGCTTTAACCCTTATTTAGAGTCTGGTTTGTTGGATGTGATTGTCCCTCCTGCTGGATTCTATCCAGATTTGGACGCGGTGAAGGAGAATTTTGGTGATCCCAAGGAGAGAGTCAAGTAAGCTTGTAGTTGTGTCTGTTCTTTACTTTCTGCAACCGTTATCTAAATTATTGTTTATCTAACTTGTTTATCTAACTTGTTGTTTATCTAACATATTGTTTATCTAAGTTATTGTTTATCTAACATATTGTTTATCTAACTTATTGTTTATCTAGCGTATTTTTTATCTAACTTATTGTTTTCTAACTTATTGTTTATATAACTTATTATTTTTCTTACTTATTGTTTATCTAACTTATTGTTTATCTAACTTATTGTTTATCTAACTTATTGTTTATCTAACTTATTGTTTATCTAGCGTATTTTTTATCTAACTTATTGTTTTCTAACTTATTGTTTATATAACTTATTATTTTTCTTACTTATTGTTTATCTAACTTATTGTTTTCTAACTTATTGTTTAGTTCTTTCAAATGTTCTAACATTGTTCTTGTTTTAAATATCCTTAAACATGCTCAGAGTTGTTTCATTTCTCTTATTTTCTGGTATCATGGTTTTTTTTAAAACCTTTTATTTAATTCTTTCACTTGTTCTAAAATTCTTTATGTAATATCTTGTTTAGTTTTAGGTAAGGTTTCTTGTTTGCTAATATTTTTAATGTCATTGTTTATCTAGCCTATTGTTCTGACATATGTTCTTCACTGTTTAATTCTTACACATGTTGTGTCATTATATAGGGTCCCAGTGGGTGAATAAAACCAGAATTAACCACTGCCTGCCCGAAAGCATGTCGTAAGAGTTGTCTAATTGGAAGCCTAATTGAGGTTGGAGTGCATCTGCCTGAGAGGCAAGGAACCAGCAGTCTGCATACAGATGAGTCTGATCTGTATGTGCATGCAACACTCAGGTTCTAGAACAGGACTAGATTCCAGAAGTGGATGAACACCCTGAATTTTCTGGCAGATTTCACAGCTGGTGAATGCCAAGAAGAAGAAACATAGCAAGTTATAATATGTATAGTAAGATAAAGATCTAGGTAGGAAGCTAAAGAATAATAATAAACCAACAAATAATTGGTAACGTCAGCCAATACACCCTGTAGAGGGGATCTGAGAACCTATAGGCTAAATGATTCCGTGTGCAGTGAGGATGATCTGCTGAGTGACTAATTAAGGTGTATATAACTGGTTTCTGTGAAAGTAAGACACTGTTTTTTTTTTTTTTGGTTGTTATTATGTTTATTTTCTTTTTTAGGTAACTGCATCAGTTTTCTAGTACTGGTACTGCTTCTTTTCTAGGTTCTGTTGCCTTTCAGCATCAGGGTTTGAAGATGTGTTGGGTGTGAGCCTTGGTATGTGCTACCTAGGTGCTAGTATTTCTGGCCTTGGATATTACATCTATCAATCGCTTGCATGGTCCACCAGTGGCTCTGCTTCCATTTTGTCTGAATGACTGCTGGGCTCTTTGTTGTGCACTGTCCTGTGGTAGTATTGACACATGTCCAGACCATTTTGTCTGTTGTCTATTAATATAATTAAGTACTGGTACTATAATTGAAATTAAATTGCCTTAATATTTTTTTCATAAATAAATAGGTGGCGGACAAAACAAAATTTAGACTATGCCTTTCATATGTTGTATGGCCGGCCTAAAGCAACTTATTATTTGCAGGTCAGTAATTTTTGTTTTTAATATTTTTTATTTTATTTTTTAAAGATATGGTTAATTAGGTAACATTGCTTTTTATATATTTACATTTCCTTATAGGTTAAATATAAGCATGTTTTTTTGGTTTTGCGGTACACAGAACCAGCAACATTGTCTAATCATCATTGTTTCAGTGTTACTGTAATAGTCACTTTCTGGTAAGGCCAACACAATTTGATGTCTTGAAAAAAAGCAGTGAGTATAAATGATCAAGGATCTTATCCATATATTCTGGCAAAAATTAAAAGCAGGAGAACACATGAAAACCTGACTGGATTCTCACAAAATGTGTTTCTTGGCTTTAAAAGAGTTAAAACTGAATTCTTAATTTGTCAGAATTCTGCCTGAAGCCTTGATCAGTGTTTTAATTTTTACATGCCAGGATCTTCAGACCTAAAACAGAACGCTTTCGTCAGTAAATAACAGACTGTAACTTGCGTCTATGGAGCACCAAATCAACTCCAGAGCGCATCTTTCAAGACTCCCAAGAATTTTCTAAGCAAAGATGAAGTTAAAAAATGTAACTTGAGAGAATCAACTTCATTGCACCAGGGTTTATTCCACATGGCTGGTTTTCTCTCCAGAGAGGGGCTAGCCACCTGCTGAGAGCAGAAACTCCATAGTTCCATGGCGATCTCCAGGAATGGTTTTTTTTTTTTTTTTTTTTTCATCGAACACCGGCTGTGAATTCCAGTGGAAGGTCCCGGTTAATCGTCCGCTTGGACTTTTGGCCTTCACCTGGACCTGATTTTTGCGTGTACAACCGTTTTTTATTTCCCTGCCTCTTGGGCAGCTGTACGCCGACTTCGAAGGAAGACGTCAGGCCTATTTCTAGGGTGACTGTGGCCATTGTTTTGTGTGGGTTGAGACTGCCTGATTTGTGTGGTGTCCGCCTTGTCTCCTTCGCCGCAGGTATTGCCCCCGGAGTACCCCTTTGGGGCAACCCCCTGTGGAACAGTTGACCCTCAAGGGAAGGCAGGGGCAGATCATGGGCATTCCCCGCCATCCAAGGAGGCTTCCATGCATGCAGAGCCGGCACATGGCGCTCTGGTTCTGGGCTCACCCAAGGAATCGTCACGTCCTGCACATGCCTGCTTAACCTCACAACCGTATCAGGCCTCCCGCTCGACAGGGGCTGCGCCCTCTGGAAGTCAGCGGGGAGCAGCCCGTTGGTTTTGGACTTTTGTGACCACACAGATAGGTACATTAGCCCGGCAGAATTTCACATCCTGAATCAGGCATATCGTTATCAGTTTTGTCCCAACACTCGGGCGAGTGGGGTCTTTGGGTGTGGACATTCGGCCTTTTGCATTTCAGTGCAAATTTTGATGGTCAGATTTTGATCCGTATGATCTAGTTTTGTCGGACATTTAGGCTTAGCCATCCGATGGATGGTTGCTGTTGTGGTGTACCACAGCGCGGTGACGACGACACTGAGGGTTAACCGAGGATGTACGTGACTGGCCAGCCTATGGATGGTTGCTGTTGTGGTGCACCTCAGCGCGGTGACGACGACACTGAGGGCCAACCGAGGATGCACAAGGATGGCCAGCCCATGTATGGTTTCTGTTGTGTTGCACCTCAGCGCGGTGACGACGACACTGAGAATTAACCGAGGATGAGCATTGAGCAATGTTCTCTTTACTCAGCAGTCTTTTAACCAAGGGTTGTGATTTTAGCTGTACTTTTGTCGAACCTACTCATGTTCCTAATGAGTTTTGATAACATTTTTCACCCAAGCGTTTATGGGCGGGCTGATGAGAGCCACAAGGACACATCACCTCTGGGGGCCGCCAAACTCCGAGATCCCCTGACAGCTCTGTTAATGCTCATTTGAGACATTATCCGTGGCGCACGACGAGGACGTGCTGTAGGGGTCTTGCGTGAGGTTCCGTACAACCAGGATAGTAAAGGACTGGCGCCCGAGTGACGTACGGAGTATCTCCTTATACACATCATGTTGGACTTAACTTCCCCTCACGCCTGTGACATAAATCACCGCGCCACGGAATGGTTGTAAAAATTGCACTTGTAAACTGAACGACAGTCTATGAATTGAACAGATTACCTGCTGAGCATGAGGCAAATGGCTGGACCACTTTACCACATAGGCCTCCTTCCAATCAAAGAACTAGTCCAATCCTCCAATGGCTAATAGATTGGCTACTGCCACTCCTCTGGGTAGTGATCTACATTATTATTAGTTTGACATAGTGAAATCTCTCCAGGACCAAGTGTATTGAATAGCAGAACAGATAGCACATCCATGTAAGACATGATTAACTCAGTAGTAAGCAATTCCCCTGGTTTGAGAATCAGCTGTATACACATGTCATGATTGTAACTTAATCACAGAATATATTGAGGAGGGTGGAGACATGCATGCTCAGTTCTGAGTGGCAAGAATCGCTTCAGAGGTTCCGGGTATTTAGCATTATTTGGATGTTTTCTTCAGGTCATGCTGGTGTGTTGGAAAACGAGCAGGCAGATCTACTGGTCAGTTCTGCACCACTTGGTGGGGAATGATGTACGACAAGCTAGATGTTGTGAAGACGAAGACCCCATGAGAGCGCGTGAACAGTGCGGAGGCATAAATGGATCATTAGTGTCTGAGGAGAATAACACTGCGGGGAGTTACCAGGGTGTCTGGCCAACGCTTAACACTCAAGGGAAAGGCAGGATGGATATACATTCAGACAGTTACTGGTACCGTCAGAATTTGAACTCTTCGCTTGCTGAAGATGGGTATAAAGCGGTTATGGGAGTGTCCCATGTGCTGTGATGTTGATTATCAATTCAACATTCAAAATAATTCAGTAGTAAGCGAACAGAGGACCTAGTGATATTTAAGCATGTATTGGAAACGATGTGCAAGCCAGGAAATTGTTTGTTGGTTTCTGAAGAAGAGGAAAAGCATGTTATGTGGAACTGTCCAGGGTGAACCGTACACTGATGCCAAGTCCTAATTGATTCATTCATTTCTTCATTTATATTTCCAACATCCATACATTCATTCATTCATCCATCCATCTATTCATTCATTAATCTATCAATTGATTCACACTTTCATCCATCCATCCATTTATTCATCTATCCATTGATTCACATATTCATCCATCTTTACATTTTTGGACAGCTGTTAAAGACCTACTCCGGCTGGACCAGATGCATGGGAAATATTTCTAGCTAATGAATAGGAAAACATAGGTCGTTTAAAGCCTTTCCATACAATCCTCCCATCCATCCATCAAATCATTCATTCAATCATCCATCCATCCATTCATTCATTTATTCATTTAGCCTTCCTTTGATTTGCCATTTTTCCTTCCTTCTTCCAACCATTGATCCCTCTATCTGTCTATCCATTCATTCATTTATTCATTCATTCATTTGTTCATTCAGCTATCCATTGATTCACCAATTCTTCCTTCCTTCCTCCAACCATTGATCCATCCATCTGTCCATCCATCAATCCTTCATTTATTTATTCATTCAGCTTTCCTTTGATTTGCCCATTCATCCTTTCTTCTTCCAACCATCAATCCATCCATCCATCCGTCCATCCATCCTTCATTTATTTATTCATTCAGCTTTCCTTTGATTTGCCCATTCATCCTTTCTTCTTCCAACCATCGATCCATCCATCCTTCTATCCATTCATTCATTTATTCATTCAGCTATTCATTGATTCACCTATTCATCTTTCCTTCCTCCAACCATTGATCCATTCATCTGTCCATCCATTCCTCCATTCATCCATTTATCCATCCATTCATTCAGTAATTCCATACATATGCAGAAAACTATTTAGGACCTGCTCAAGCTGGAACAGGTGAATGCCAACAATTTCTAGCTGATTTAATAGGAAAGCTTACGTCACTCAAAGCATTGCTCACCCTTTCTATACAATCCATCAATCTATCCATCAGCCTATCCATCCATTCATCCATCCATTTATTCATTCAGCTATCCATTGATTCTCCCATTCATCCATCCTGTTTTTTCAACTATCAGTCAATCCATCTGTCCATCCATTTATCCGTTCATTCATCCATCCATTCATTCATTCATCCATCCATGCAATAACTCTATACATCTATGGAGAACTGTTGAAGACCTACTCAAGCTGGAACAGGTGAAAACCAAACAGTTTTAGCTGATGAATAGAGAAACATAAGTCACTTACAGCTAAGATCACTCGGTCTTTCATTTATCACATACACTAGCTTTTCATTTATTGTGGTGCTTGCAGCTAGAAGATGATGTTGTTGCCAAACCCGGCTACCTGTCCGTGATGAAGACATTTGCTCGCCAGCAGAAGGGTGACTGGATCATGCTGGAGTTTTCTGCTCTGGGATTTATAGGTGGGTACCTCTTGTTCACTCGCCTAGTGGCTCAAAGATCATGGGGTTAAATCTGCACTGCGCAGACTAACTTTTTTTTTTTAAAACATCACTTTTGCTGTCAGGTTGACCCAGTTTAAAATGGGTATCTAGTAAGGATGTAGGAGGTAAAGGCGACTGTCAGAGTCTTGGGCAGTTATGGGACGGTGTATTGTTTGTACTGACGTGACCCACAGTACAGGCTGATAGTGTTTGTACTGGGATGACCGATAGGTGACCCATAGTTCAGCTGATGAATTCATGACGACAGCGATAAATGGTCTTGAACGCTTCTTCGCTTGTGTATCCAGAAGTTCTGCATGGACTGGGCTCAGTTGTCAGACAGTGACAAAACCCATGAGTCAGATCAGACAAGGGGAGTGAAACTACGAACTTGAGACAGGAGACATCTGACAGAGTGATGGTTTAGAATTACGGTGTGTTGTAGTGATATTTTAATGATCGATAGTTTTTAATGAATTGTATGTCTGGTTGTATAACAGTATACTTCTGTGTTATTTGTAGGGAAACTGTTCAAGTCATCAGATGTGTCTACAATTGTGGAGTTCTTCCTGATGTTCCATGCTGACAAACCCATTGACTGGCTTATGGATCACCTGTTGTGGGTCAAAGTCTGTAGTCCAGAGAAAGATGTGGTGAGGAATCACTCATTCATGTGGTTTTAGGATCCTTAGAGAAAGCAGCAGTGCCAAGTCTTGGTCAAGTATAACTAAGCTACCGTATAACAGTTATTATTACTACCCCTTCTCTCTCTGTTAATGCTGACTGTTGGGTGGCGTATACCAGACTTGATAAGCACTGTGGGCAGAAGTTGGGCAGTCGGTGCTGTTGGTTGTTGTTTCAGAGAATTCAGAAAATGGAGACTCACCTGGCGGTGTTAACTCCTTCAGGATAAAATTTTTTCTAGGATTTAGACAGCATTAATTTTGAGCTGAATTTTTTTTACTTCAACATACATAACAAAGCTAAAACCTTCCTGAAGAAAAAGTATTACCTGTATAGTGACATATAATAGAACAAATTAAAGAGAAATGAATGCAGAATGCATGTAAACTATTTAAGGATCAGCATTAACATGTTAAAAAAGGAAAGATTTTTTTAAGATGTGAAATGTTGTGTTTACATTATTTCTTTTTTGCTTGATCAAAAAAAAAACTTCTATCCAATTCACATGCCTTCTTTTTTCAATTATGTATCAGTTAGCCTTTATTGGGTACAGTTATTCTGAATTGCATTTTATGACCATTCTAGTTTGACATGTCAAATTGTGGAACTACCGAATCTTTTTCTTCTTCTTCAGCATTCCGAGCCCTTAAGTTCGTTGCTGCGGATAACACTCGCCTCCATTCAGCTCTCTGGGTAGCCTTGTCTTTCCAGCTGGTGACTCAAAGTTTTTGCAGGTCTGTCTGCACATATCTCTCTATAATCTTATTGGTCGGCCTCTCTGTCTATGACCATTCATCTCCCTTGTGTATAGTTTTCACTTCTCTGTCATCTGACATTCTCTCAATATGCCCCAGCTATGTCACTCTATTAGCTCTCATGACGCCACTTATCAGTGGGGATTTAAACAGATGATGAATTCCGTTGTTGCTTCTCACTCTCCATTCACTGCTGTTTGCATCTTTGATGGGTCCAGAGATTCATCACAAGACTCTGTTTTCGAAAACCTGTAATAAGGCTTCATCTCTTTTAGTTGTGCTCCAAGTTTCAGAACCATATAAAACGACTGGCCTTATTAACGTTTAGCCTACCTACTGAAAATAAACATTGTTTTGCTGACATTTTTTACAGCAAAATAACAGAGCTAAAACCATCATGAAGAAAACATATTGGCTGTATTGTGACATATAATACTTCTAATAAAAGAGAAATGAATGCAGAATGAATGTAAACTATTTAAGGATCAGTGTTGGAACAAAAACACACTACAATGACACCACATGAGATAATGTTGACACAGAACAATTTGTAAAACATGCAGAATTAAGTTTACCTTACTTTTTTACTTGTTCAGCAACACTGCTATTGATTTCTAAGAATTCACACGCCTTCTCTATTCAGTTATGTATCAGCTAATCTTTATTTGAGACAGTTATTCTCAGTACTTTGGATTTTATTATCATTTTTTGTGTGACACATAAAATTTCAGTACAGCTGAACACAAAAATATTTATATGAAATGTGAGAGCAATTCCAGTGACGACTTGAGAATTTTTATCTGACAATGATGATGATGATGATGATGTTGATCCTGAAACAATCACCTTACTGAGTGTAAAGTGCCTTAAAACATGCATTGGGACACAGGTGAGGCTTGTCTGCACATCCCAGACAGTAATAACTGCTGTGATTTCAAATCATTTTCTTGCTGCACTGTACACATTGTCATAACCTGTCTGGACCACCATAATCAACTTAATGTGCTGCTCCAACAAGACTGTCAATCAAGGCTGGCTTTCTGCCTGGTAAGTGAGCCACAGCAGTGATCAGGTCTGTTAAAACTTCATGAGCTGAGAGAGCAGCTAGTTGCTGGGTGAGCTTGTCTTTGAACTGTGATCAACTCATTCATCTGGGTGCAGAAGGGTGGGATAACACATACAGGATGTGAGCATTGACCTGAGTCACTTCCCTAATCCATGTGAAAACCTGTTTCCATCACTTCTTAGTTTTGTCTTTGTGGTTACCTTAAAAAGAGACCATTTGATCCACACGTTCACAGCCATTCATACTCATATTGTATGAGTCAATCGGGCTAGGTTTCTAAACCTAATGAACCTTCCTGAACCCTTCCTGTCGTTTCTCAAATATGGAACTTCCCTTTGTGGTCAGTAGGATGCAGGTGTTTTCATTATTAACTATCTATCTTGGAGTTCCAAAGATGGCTGGTTTTTGTTTTAGCTGTGGCGGTAATTCTTTCCGGTTTTTATTCACTGTGTCAGTATAATTAAATTTCTGGGATAAAAGAAATTGTATGACAGCTAGTGATGTTATAAAATCTGTCCGCAAACAGATGGTGGTTGCTTGCGACACCCTGCAGTAAGGTTGAAAATACTTTGACAGCATGAGTTGATGTTGGATCAAGCTCAGGATTGTATTCAGTTTTTGCTCTAAAAAAAAATCAGCAGATTATAAACGTAACCAGTGACTAAATCACAAAGAGCAAATCTCTTTATATGATACTTGTGAGGCTTGGCTGCATTTTACTGTTTTGCATGGAATCTGCTCTTGAAACCAATCACCATCATCAACAGAAAGCTTTACAGACAGATAAAATGCTGACTGGACTATGTTATTGTTATGGTTTTCCTGACTATTTGGTAGATGGTTGATATTCACCATCATCATCATCTACATCATTGTCGGATAAATCAGAATCTAAATTATCATTACTACTAGAATTAACTTCATCTAGCAATCACTGAATTAGATCTAAAGCCTGTTTTTGTCTCTTTTTTTTTTTTTAAGCTCTATCTGCAGTAGATGTTGAAGAGTTGAAAGCTGCCATTTCAGGAAAATCACACAGCAAATTTGTGTCTCACAGAATAAATCTAAAACAAATCAAAAACTAATGCAGTGACCATGCCGAAACTTCCCAAATGAAAAGACTGCATTTAGCTAGTTCTAGTTTTTCAAAACATCTTCATACAGATTTGTTTTCCCAGCAAACGAAACAGTTTTAGAGTGTCTATATCAAACACCACTTTAATGTCAATAAGTCCTAATGGGATGGATTCAAACGCCACTTTAGTGGTGATTAGTCCACAAAGAGTTAAATCAATCTATACGGAAATGGTGATGTGAACAGGAAAAACTGGATACAGGCAAGGTGTGCACCCCTCTTTTGCATGGATTTTTAGTCATATCAGTCAGTAAAGACCTGAAGATTGTAGTCACTGTTTCCACTCATGCTACAGTTATGTATTGTGAGCCTAGAATCCTTTTTCTCTTTATGCCAGAAACACTGCCAACGCATGATCCAAGCAGTCAGACGCAGATATAAACCTTCACTCTTCCAGCACATAGGCTTGGAGTCTTCTCTTAAGGGAAAAGTCCAGAAGCTGAAGGTAATTACTTTACATAGTTTGCAAGTATTTGCTTTTTACATGAAAGAACTTGTAAAAAAAAGTAATTAAATATAAACCTTATCTCTTCTCTGTTTTGCTTCTTCTTTTCTGTGCTTGGCCTTAAAAGGGTGGCTGCCATGTTATTTTTGGTTTACAAAACTAGTTTAGAAGTTCGGAACCTAAATTAACACCACATTCATTTTGATGTAAAGTTCATGTAAAATACTTGTCTGATTTGACTGTATAATATGGAGTAATAAGAAGAACTCACTCGGGACCAAAGAAATGGTTCTTCTAATCAGAAATTCCTCTGATCCAGATAAGAATTCAAGCAAGAAAAATTGCAAGGGAACAATAAATTATCACCTTGAGCTGTAAAAAAAAAATGTATAGAACCCTTTTATGTCAGCGGCCCATCGGGCATATGATGAATGAGTGGCACGTGGAGTAGTCAACATCCTGCCAGCCACCTTTACTTCGCAGGATTTTACCTGGTACCCATTTTAGGCTGGGTGGACCTGACATTTTAGAGGGAAAAAAATAATCTGGCGTGATGATTCGATTACATAACATTTTGGCTGGCAATCGAGTGTCTAGCCACTGTGTCACCAAGGCTTCACTTTACATGTTAGCCACATTTGAACTATTTGGCTCCCAAAAGGTATTCCATATATTTCTAAGGGTGGCAGTAATAACTATGAATAATCACAGTTGTTTAATTTGTTTTAGACAAAATGCACAATGACTGGAAGTAACGAACAAATTACACAAGAAGCCAGATTTCTCTCGCATTTCTGACCAAATGTGAAAAATGAAAGAACACAATATCAGATTTTTGGATAAAAGGAAAAGTGCCATTGATACATTATGCTTTATGTTGCTAGTAAAACTTTTTTGTGTGTGTATGTTTCAGGATCGTGATTTTGGGAAGGCTGGTTTGTACAGGGCTCACGCCAATCCTCCAGCAGAGCTCTCAACAACACTCAAGACTTACCAGAATTTCTTGCTCAGTAAAGCATATGCTGGGGAGACTTTCTTCTGGGCTTCGAACCCATCCGTAGGGGACACCGTAGATTTCAAGTTTAATCCTCCTATTCGTATAGATCTGTGAGTAGCCAAGTTTGTCTCTTTCTTGTTTGTCTTCATTTTATATGTGTAAAGAATTGTGCTGGGGTCCCCGGGACTAGGGCTCAAACTGGTCAAGACTTCTCAGCACCTCTCATCTTAAATAAACAGGTTTCCTGCAGAGTCAGAGTACATCTGCCTGAGAAGCGAGGAACCAGCAGTTTGCACACATATAAGACACTTCTGTAAAATGGATGTGCATGCAAACCTCAAATGCTAGAACAAGACCAAGGTACAGAAATGGACCAACAACCAGGACTTTTGGCCAGAGTTTACAGTTGGTGGAAGCGAAGAATGCAACCTAAGATGAGATGTTGAAGACCAGTAGCAGAAAAAACAAGAACTGACAGAGTTACCAGTGAAGAACTAAGCACACTGATAGGTACAATACTGGTAAGTTATCTCATGAACATCACAGAATCACATGATTTAGGTCAAAATGGAGCACAGTCAGCCAGTAGCTAAAGTGTACTTGCACACACAAGAACAACAGGCAACAATCAAGAGGCTGACCAAGAAAGAGATGGGTAGAACAAGTTAAGGGGACACACAAGAAATGAAGTATGTCATTAACACAAGCTACACAACCAGCAGAAGACAGGAAACTGCATCCAACTCTTCTCTGCAGTGCTTTACAGCACAAACAGTAGGACAGAAGAAGAAGAATGAAAATGCAAAGAAGATATATCTGGTCTGGTAGTCTTAGTTTCAGCTTCATAGCAAACGGGTCACCCCATCGTTGCTCCGCTCCTGTGCCAACAAAAAACACATAGAATGTTTGTCACAGTTCCTTGTGGAAAGATTGACAGACTGCTGTCTCAGCATATGCACTATCATACACACGCATTAAAAGCATACAGTAGCCATCAGAAGTGCTAACACAAACAGTGCGACATTAGAAATGCAGTTCATCATTGATGGTAGCAGAAGTCACCAACAGAAAAGCAGTTGCACATGCGATCAGTTATCACATAAGGGCATCACCAACATTGCAACTACAGGCATCGCGCCATTTTCTGAAACTAAAATTCACACCACCACGTTGGTCACAGTCGAAAAAACATTCCAAATGAAATCCGCAGCTCACAGTGTCACATCATGCATTCAGCTCAGAAGCTGGGCGACGAAACCTTATCCTTTCAGTCTACAAATGGAGCAAAAATGCAACGGCCACCGTCTGGCAGAACCAAAAAAATTTGCCTCGGCTTCAAACAGCGCTCGTGCCTAGCGTCCATTTTTACCGGAAGTCAAAAAAGAAGATATATAGGGAGATGTGGCAGCACAGCGGTCAGTACTCTTTTCTGCTGGTTCGGTGCTTGTGGGTTTGAGTTCTTGGCCAGGTATTTTTTTTTTATTGGCCTGGTTTCCCATGTTAACCCAGCCTGAAACTTTTTACCTGGAAATGTTCTGGGAAGAAAGGCCGCCTGCATGATGTTGACTTGTTACCCATTGGATTATCTTGATGTAAAGAACATGGGTGTGCAGATTTTACATGAGTGGCTGAAAGAGTTGCTTGTCAGTTGTAACTGAGTTCTTGATTCCATATTCCTTCTCATAACATGTACACACATATGCATGCACACACTGCGAGCGTGCGCGTGCACACACACACATGCACGCACGCTCGCATGCACACACACACACACACATGTGGGAACACTCGCACACACACACACACACTCACACAAACTTGTGGGCACACTCACAATGCCTCTGTCTAATTTCTCTTATCAGTTTACAGTTTTTGTCCTAATGAGAGCTGCATTGTTGTTTTTCTTTGATCTCATTATTCTCTTTGTATTTTTATCAAAACCACATCTCTGCTGCAAGTAAATTTTTCCTAGCTTGTCTGCTTATTGTCTTCATCTTTCATGCATATTACAATACAGTTTTTGTATAGCTCTGTTGTTCTCACTGCTGTTGTCATCTTTAGTTTGGTCAGTATCTGTTACATATTTTTTTTTAGGTAACTTTTTATTTAGTAATCCTATGTTCAAGTATGCATGACAGTGAGCAGGCTGGTTGATTAGCTGCTGCAACTCTTCTGGGCGGCTAGCTCTTTTTAATATAGTGGATGTGGGATCAAGTAGACAGTACAACAGAACAGACTGATCAGAAAAGCTGATATGACTGGAAATGAACAGTGAGACTGGACCATTCTTTCCCATTTGGATCTGCAGAACACATTTAAAAGCTTCATATCATTAACAAAAACCTCAACTTTAGAATACAAATTTTATGTGGGGATCCTTATATTTATAAAATTACGAGTCCTTGAGCAGGGCTATTAAAAACAGACATTAAGAGGGGTCGGTTTGTCTTAGGTGTTTGGGAACCTCATCAGTCAGGACAAGAAAAGACAGGTGGACATTTCATCAGATTGGAGCTGGTATCATTATCATTTCTTTGTTGGCCTTGAGGAAGAAGATGGAGCCCGTGTAGAAATGTCCTGAGTGCGGTTATGTCAAGTCTTGATTGTTTGATTGATTCATTCATTAATTCTTATGTTAATTCTCTCTTTCATAAGAATGATAATGTGCAGCAGCTTTTGTAGTTAATAAATTGCATATCTTTTCTTGTTTTTCTCCTTCCATTGACAGGTACTTATTCCGCAGTGGACACATGGATCACCCAGGTGACATTTTCCACAACACAAGTATTGAAATTCTAACAGCAGACAAAGTCAGCCAATCACTGATAGACAGTATTGTATCAAAGGCGGGGCTTAGTCAGAAAGAGGTGTCTAATGCATCAGTCGATTTCATCCCTATTGGTCGGTTTAATGATGCAGGCTTGGCTCAAGGGGAAGTCCCTGAGGGAGTGGGCAATGTTCAGACACTTCGAATACATGTTCATGAGAAGTCTGATGCCTGGGTCATTTTAAGTGAAGTGAGTATGACTGTCTGGTTTATGTTCAGTAAATTTAAGTTGATTGGTAACTTTCCATATTGCCAGACGATAGTGTTATATTGAGCTATGTGAAGGCATGGGGCTCACAGCCCATGGTGATGGCGAGTGTGACTAACGTTAAGGCAAGTCTTCCACAATTATAGCATGGGATTTCAGGACTCTTGTTGTCAACATTTGTGTTAAGTCTGTTTCTTCTCAGACTCTCAGCTGTCATCCTTTTTGCAATAATTTCTTCTTTCATTATTATTCCCTTGCTGATATGCTTCATCCACACAACATTGTCCATGGCATTCCCATGAGTAAACTGCAATACCTGTATCATTCCTGTCCCGCTTGCACACATCTTTTTATCATAGTAGAGGTCTACTCTACCTCATCGACCCATCATTAATTCACCATAAATTCCTTAGGGACTCTCCCATTCTTCATTCTCCAGGTGTGACCTAACCACCTGAGCCTTCGTAGACTGAGCATTGAGAAGACTGTTGTAATGCCTGCTCTTTCCAGTACCTCAGTGTTTGTGATCTTGTCCTGCCACTTAATGTCAAGAATTCTTCTTAGGCATCGCATGTGAAAGCCATGTAGCCATTTTTCATGGTGCGAATAAGTTGACTAAGTTTCACTGCATAATGATTAGTGAAATCACCAACACATCATCGAACGGTACATAACCACAGACCTAAAGAAGCACAGCAAAACTCATGCACCAAACTCAAGTAACACGGAAGGCAAGTCCTTCTCTAATAAACACCATCTGATTGCAGCGGAGACCTCATGGCCTAAAACCGGACCAAAAATGGTTGGTAAAAAACGAATTTCAGGCATGACATAATTACCACAAAACTTTGAAGTCAATAAAGATTCAAGTATAATCGAAGCTTCACCAGAAGCAAGGTTAAACGTAGTCAAGTTTTTTTTTTTCTAGAGATGGAAATGGAAAATACCAATAGCCACATATATTTTGTAATGGGCTTAAGAGCACATTTTGGAAAATGGAAACGGATGTCGTACGGGTCATAGTGGCTTGTATAGCTTGATAAGACTTAGATCAGAATCATAACATGGATTTTCTGTGGGACATTTTTGGGCGCATGGTAATGAATGATAGATTGACTGCTGCTGCTTCTGTACTTTATGATAAAGAGTACAGAGTGAAGGCTGTTGATGATGAACTTAACAGAACAACAGAAGAGACAGAACATCCACACTTCAAGTGGGGACTGAGCAGAAGATTTTCACTTACAATCATATTTGGGATTTTGTCTCTTCTGATTACTCCTGTAGCGCTTCTCAGACAACTCGTTTTCATGATTACTAGTTTCCTTTTGGGGGGGGGGGGGGGGGGGGGGGGGTTGTGAGTGACCATGTCTGGCACTGGTAGCATAGAATGTGAATGGCTCAATTCATAACACTGTAATACAGTTTCTAGGACAGTCTGAATTAGTCTTACAATGTCAGGATTCTCTGTCTGTTTTATCGCACTGTCCATTCAATCCCAGAGAGCCTTCATCACGTCCACTTTATCATTAAAGTAGCTTAATGCCCAGAGGAGGAGCAGCAGCTAATCTGACAGCCTACTCCTTACATCGCACACCTGAATATCCTCGACACACACACAAATCCATGATATGCTTCTGCTGTCTTGTCAAGTGGTCCAAGCCCTCTGTTTCTGTGATGTTGCACAGAAGAAGAAGAGTTAAAAGGCAGTTTTCTGTAGTCCAGATATATTTTATATATTATTTCTCGTCCATTTTAGGATGAAATTTGTTGTTATTTGAAGCCCTTCTCTGGCTTTTGCCAGGGGCCGCAATATAGCCTGGCCATAAATATGGCCTAAAGGCTGAACGCAGTTTCTGGGACCTCTCCACGGTGATCCTCACCCACATGGTGGCACTTTGTGTCATCAGGTGTTTATCGCTTGTGTGATATCCTGGTGGGGTAGAAAGTCAGTCAATCAGTCAGTTCAGTTATAGATAGTTAATTTAAGTTTTTTTTTAGTTAGTAACTTAATTAAGTTTATATCCTGTAGACTACACATAGTGCATTTTAGTATTTTAAATTAAATTAGACATAATTGTTTTCTTAAAAATCTGTAAATTACAGAAATTGAATGTGAGTAATTTTTATAAAGTACTTTATTTTAATTAATTTTCTTCAGAGACAGGTTTAGTTGTCTTTTCTTAAAATTAAATTATTTCTGTTTAGTTTCTTTTGTGTTACAGTTTAAAGTATATATTTTAGGTTGCACTTCATGTTACAAATATAAAATCAAAGTATTTCTATATAGTTGTCATTCATGTTACAAATAGAAAATAAAGTTTGATTTAGGCTTAAACAATGGATCAACATCATTGCTTATAGGTAGTAACCTATATTTGCTCCGTTCTACTTCTAAATGAAGCCTGAGTCTGAAGAATCTCAGCACAGTGGATGAACTTGATTGCACCGGCAAGGATCCTAAAATACTTTGGGTACATTTTTAACTCCAAATCTTGCCCGGCACAGCCCTGTTAGGCTACTCTTTGCGATTTCCAACTGCCAAGGGACTTTTTTTACGTGTGCAAAAATACACACAGGCGTCCGGTCTTACTACCCAGTGACCAGGGACAATTACTAGAAGTACACCTGAAAAAGTCCCAGCCTTCACCAGTTCTTGAACCCGGGATCTCCAGCACTTGAGGCAGACGCCATGCTCCGAGAAAACTCAGCCCCCCTCAAGAAGATAAAGTATTTCTGGTTATTTGCTTTTCATGTTGCACATAGGAAATTTAAATATTTCTGTTTAGTTATTTTCATGTCACAGACAGAAAGCATACGTATTTCTGTTTAATTATCTTTAATGCTGCAAATAACAAATTAAATTATTGCTGTTTTAGTTGTCCTTCATGTAACTAGGAGAAAATATTGAGCATATTTCTGACCAGTAGTTTTCATTTTTCATGTTACGATAGAAAATGAATGTATTTCTATTTAATTGTCTTTCATCTTACAGATTGAAAATTCAAGTATTTCTGTTTAGTGATCTTTCATGTTAAAATAGAAAAGTTATGTAATTCTGTTTTGATTTCTTTCATGTAAAAAAGAGAATGACTAAGTATTCTAATCTGATTGTTATTCATGTTACAGATAGAAAATTTTAATATTTATATTTAGTTATATTACACAATGCAACTTGAAAATTTAAGTGTATCTGTTTAGTTTTCTTTGAATTTAGGATAGAAAATGTAAGTATTTCTGTTTAAGATTTTTTAGTTACGTTTGATTTACTTTGAGTACTCAGAATATTTATGGTAAAATTGTTAATTGTAGGCAGTAAAATATATATTTTAATTAATTGAGCACTTTCATCTCTAAATTGTTTTGTTGTTGTAAATAATCAGTTTTCCCTCCTTTTTTTCTTCTCTTAGAAATGTTTGTGTCTGCTTCAATGACTTAGGCATTGCAAACATGCTTCTTAATTCCAAGGTTATCAGTTAGTTGTGTATCCTTTACAGGACGTTTCAGAACCAACCCAAGCATTTTGTTTGCCTGTTGTGGTTTTTCTAGGCAAATGTTACATCAAGTTGTTCGCCACTGCTTTCTGAAGGGTCAGGTCTCAGCCCCACTGTTGAAACCAATGCAAGACGCAGAGTCCGCAGCTGGGATCAAACCCGGCATTACGAAGTGCATTCGTGGCACCTAAGCTACAGACGCCGAGGTACCTGATTCAATTCCAGCTATGGGTGATTTGGCAGCAGAGCGCTTTGTGTTAGTTTTGAAAATGGTATTTAGAGCCGACCGTTCAGGAGAAATGCCAAACTACAGAATATAAAATTGCCTAGTAAACATAATAGCCAAAGAATGCTAGAGTTGACTATGCAACGTCTTGTAAAATATGCAACAAACTTTTCTTTGTGTGTGTTTTTTTGTTGTTGTAACTGCTGATAGTTCTCTGCTCCCCTTGTAGACCTATAGAGCACACTTTCAAACATGCTGACATAATCTCAGTATCATTCTGCATTTTGCTCTCTAACTTTCCCATAGTCACAATAGTCTCCAGTTTTCAGCTTCTCAGTAGACCCTTTTGGCAGATAATTATAAAGTATGTGTTAACCTTTTGTTGATTCAATATTTCTTTTTCTTTTATAGCAAATATTGATTGCTTTATTTAGCATTTTTTTCCAGTTGGCAGAGAATTTTACAATATTCTCATATTTTGGCAAATATATATTTAGCATTTTGTTTCTAATTTTTAGCAAATATTAATTCAACATTTGTTTCCATATTGTTTCCTTTTTTTAAAAAAGATTTGTTGTTGCTGTTATTGATTCAATATTTAGTTTCCTTTATGGCATATATTGATCTAATATTTGTCCGTATTGACGAGCATTTCTTCCTTTTTGTGTGAGGGGGGAGGGGGGGGGGGGGGGGGGGGGGAGAGGAGAAACTTATTATCCCTCTCCCCTCCCCCATTCACTTTTTTCCTTTTTGATTTCCATTTTCCCATATTGATTCCATATTTTCCCATATTGATTCCATATATTTCTATATTGATTCTGTATATTCTTTTCCTTTTTTGACAGATAATGATCCAAGAGAGCAAGAGCTAGCATTAGCTTCATGACCTAATTGTTATATCAGTGCACATCATTCCAGTGTGAAGAAGACAGGTGTACATAAAAGACACTTCATATACAGATAAAGCAATTCTATTTTTCCAGAGTGAACTTAGTTGAACATGATGCTTAACAGAAACTAACTAATACTGTGTTTGTTCCTTTAGAGAAATATACCTCGGTGTGTGTGTTCTTTATGCAGTGGTTCCCAGCTGGCAGTCTGCGGTCCCAATTAGTGGTCAGTGGTTCCCAGTTGGTGGTCAGCAGTCCCAGTTAGTGGTCAGTCATTCCCAACTGGCAGTCAGCAGTTCCAAGTTAGTGGTCAGTGGTTCCATGTTGGTGGTCAGCAGTCCCAATTAGTGGTAAGTGGTTCCCAGCTGGCAATCAGCAGTCCCAATTAGTGGTCAGTGGTTTTCAGCTGGTAGTCAGCAGTTCCCAGTTAGTGGTCAGTGGTTTCCAGCTGGCAGTCAGTGATCCCAATTAGTGGTCAGTGGTTCCCAGCTGGCAGTCAGTGGTCCCAATTAGTGGTCAGTGGTTCCATGTTGGTGGTCAGAGGTCCCAATTAGTGGTCAGTGGTCCCCAGCTGGCAATCAGTGGTCCCAATAAGTGGTCAGTGGTTCCCAGCTGGTAGTCAGCAGTTCCCATTTAGTGGTCAGTAGTTCCTAGCTGGCAGTCAGTGTTCCCAATTAGTGGTCAGTGGTTCTTAGTTGGTGGTCAGTGGTCCCAATTCATGGTCAGTGGTTCTCAGCTAGCAGTCAGTGGTCCCAATTAGTGGTCAGTCTTTCCCATCTGGCTGTCAGCGGTCCCAATAAGTGGTAAATGGTTCCCAGTTGGTGGTCAGTGGTTCCCAGCTGGTGGTCAGTGGTCCCAATTAGTTGTCAGTGGTTAAGAGTTGGGGTCAGTGGTTCCAATTAGTGGTCAGTGGTTTCAAGTTGGTTGGTGGTCAATGGTTCCATGTTGGTGGTCAGCAGTTCCCAGTTAGTGGTCAGCAGTTCCCAGTTGGTGGTCAGCAGTTCCCAGTTGGTGGTCATCAGGTTAAAGGGAGGGGGCCAGTATCCTTCAAAAATAAAAGGTGTCTGTGGGTCTTATTTAGCTGGGAACCACTGCCGTAGAGAAGTGCTGTGAAAATTATGCTGCCATCTGTGCTGCTGTTGTGTAAATTAGTTCCTTTCTCATCTTTGTCATCATTATCATGGTCATTATTTTTATCATCCTCATCACTATTATCTTCATCATCATTATCATCATCATTCAAATCATCATCATCAAGTGCCTTGCCAACTAGCCTGGGCAAATTATACTATTACACTGCCCTCACCTAATCTATGTGAGATTATCAGTTAACTCTGTTGATGCCATGAACCAAATCAAAAGTTCATTGGTTGTTTTTTTTTTTTTTTTTTTCAAAGGCTTTCTGAGTCTCTTTGATGGCAGACTGTTTGTCGCTCTATCTATCTTCTTTATATTTTTCTTCACTGTATATTGGGGCACCACATAATGGTTTCTAGATAACCTGAAGTCGGGTGTGAGTGGGTTGTCTGTGTGCAGTCAAGAGATGCTTTATAACAGAAGGTCTACTGTTTTAGAGAAATGTAAATTTATGCTGACTGGTACTGAAAAAGTTCATATGATTTCTTTCAGTTTCATGGCAAAAGACTGTTAGCTCTTCCAGCACCAAGTAGGGGTTGGTTTTAACCTGCCCTAATCTAGCCATTTAAAAACAAATACCTGAGGAAGATGGTGAACATAACATGGAAAGAATTCAGGTGAGGTGAAGAAATAAGAAAAATGTCTGTGTAACCACTGGCAACAACAGATATAAGACAAAGAAGAAGGTACTATATTGGACACATTATGAAAAGAGATGATGAGAGAGTCACTAAACAGGTAGTGAAATGGGAAATAAAGAGATTGAGGAAACAAGGATTTCCAAGAGAAACCATAAGTTAAATATGGTTGAGAGATTTGATTTGATTTGATTCAAGAACCGACACCACAGCACTCGGGGCATTCCCATAAGCGCTCTGTCCCCATCTTCAGCAACCAGCGAAGAGTTCCCATACTAATGGTGCCAGTAGCATTCTGATTAAACGTCCTTTCCTTTGAGCCTCGAGCATCTGCCAGAAGCTCTTGTCACTCCCCGCTGCATCAATCTCACCAGACTGGTGATCCATCGGCTCTTCCAAACTGTACACGCTCTCCGACAAGGCACTAACCACGTCTGCCTTATCATGTATCAGTATTCGACCAAGTTGTGCAGAGCCAGCCAGTCTGTCTTCCTGTCTTTTTCCAACACACTGACGTGCCCCATTGAAAAAATCCAGACAATACTCCTCACCTGTGTCCTCCGCAGCGAAGCATGCCACTCTGCACGAGGCATACCTGTTCTGATCTTTTTCAGCATGCTTTCTGAATCAGTTACAATCACGATGTCTGTGTGTGTTGTGTTCTGTAGCCAGCGGAAAGCTGCAGTGACTGCCTATTCCTCCATTCTTAAGCTGGATGTTGTGGTATCATACGCTAAGCTCTCCTGCACCAAATGTCGTGTTTTAGTGTTATTTTCCTTCCTTCATTCCTACAGTTATGTTCAATTTTTTTTTACCCTAGCAGTTATTATTACTTACAGTCTTTTTTTACTAGAACTTAATATTTTATCTTTCTTAGTTATTATTTTAACTTCTTTGCACTCAGATGCTTATTTTATCTCCTTTGTATATATACATTTTTTTTAAAAGCTCTCTGCACCCAGACAGTGATTATTTATTTCTTTTTGTATTCATGCAGTTTTAATAGCCACTTTGTACCAAGAAAATCATTACTTCAGATCCCTTTTGCTTTACAGATTAAAAAAAAAATGTTTCAGATCTTTTATGCTGATACAGATTTTAATTGACCTCTTTGTACCCAAAGAATCATCACTTTAAATTATTTGTGCTTAAGACATTTTAAAATTTCTCCTTGTATGCACAAGATTATTGCTTCTGACCTTTGTACTCCTACAGATTTTTAAAAAACCTCATTTGTATTAGAACCATTATTACATTGAAGTAACATATTCCTGTCCTTGGGGGTGGGAACTAATTTCATTATTCCATTCACATTCATGCATCAATTAACAAATAATCAGAGAGAAAAGAGAGAGAGAGAGAGGGGGGGGGGGGGGGGGGGGAGAAGGGGGGAGAGAGAGGGGTGTGTGAGAGAGATAGAGAGAAAGAGATAGAGAGAGGGGAGAGAGATTAATTATTCATGTATAAACTGATAGCTCTTACATTTTCAAACACTTTTGTTGAGGTTGATTTGTTTCACACAGAGATATGTATTTTGATGGAAACATATTATGTTATACAACAACCGGTGAAAATGTTTGAATTATCACTTATTTTTAGACTGCTGTGATTGTTCCATTATGTATGTTTAACAAAACAAACAAAATGTCGTTAGTGCATCAGGCAACAGACAAAAACAAACAAAATGTCGTTAGTGCATCAGGCAGCAGACGTAAAAAAAAACATATGGAGATGGGAGCTAGAGAGTAAAGTTAAAAAGCTGTTGGAGAACATGGGATGAACTGCATGCAGTAGAGAAGGATATAATGACTTGGCTGAGTTGGCTGAGGACGTAAGCTCTATTGAGGGATAGAAGGCAGAAGAAGAAATGCATTGGGCACAAGGTGCTAAATGAATTGTTTTATAGACCAGTCTTTAGGGGTTGTGGTCAACATAAGCCGGATGCCTTTACTTTTTTTGAAGAAAATTTGTAGTACACATTTGAGGCTGGATCAACATGGCGGCCAAGCTTGATACAAATAAATTTGACTGGGTGTGGATTTGAACTCTTTGAACCAGCAGCCATGCATTTAGCCACTGTACCACTGTGGCTGACTCTGGCCTCTTTTGAGTTGTACTGGAATAAGTTATGAGTTATGTCTGCTAAATGGAAATAGATCACAAGGCAGACTGAGAAGATGATGGAGAGGTAATCTGTAGGCAGACCTACAAACTCAGTCTTCAATCAGAACGAGAAGGCCAGTCACAGAGATGATGGAGGCAGGCGATATCTGCAGCAATGAATCTCAAGGGTCCAGAATGCTGAAGAAGAAGAAGAAGTAGCTATGGCTCCTAGAAACTCTATGTGCTCTTGTTCAGACAGAAAATAGCACAGATATATCACAGAAAATATGCAGGCAGAAAAAAACATGCAATGATTTGGCTGAATAAACATGTGTGACTGAATGAATGACTGATTCCAGGGTTTCTTTTTCATGTTCACTTTCTGTAGATTGTAGTGGACAATCCTGGTTGTTCATCCATTCTGGTCTTTAGTCTTGTTCCAAGAATTTTAGATACACATCCATTTTATAGATCTGGCTTATTTGTGTGCAAACTGTTGGTTCCTTGCCTCTCAGGCAGGTGCAGTGTGACTTTGAGGAAAAGTCAATCTTGTCCATTGCCAGGCCTCCATATAAAAACCTGTTTCTATGATAGCCACACACAAAAATGAACCAACTAACAAACTTTATTTTCAAAGGGTCACAAATTGGGCACGCAGGCCCATCTTACATATGGGCCTTCCAAACACCCCTCTTTGGCACAGCAGTTGTATTTCTTTCAATAAAGCAGTTTTGTTCACCACAGAGACACTTGTAGCTAGGTCTGGACTGGTATGAGCAATGATATTTTTGGTGAGCCTGTTTTCCCAGAATTGTTGGTCTTTTAGAATCTGAATTTTTCTATTTTGTTCCTTGCTGATTGTTGATGCCATCATCTGGAATTTATCATTTTAAGAAACTTTTATTATCAATGACCGATGTACTTAGATATCCATGTTTTTGAGAACTTCATTTTTCTAATCTATATTTGTGTTATACAATACTGTACTCTGGCGGCATCCTTGGCTAAGGCGTTGCGAGTCCTACTCGTAATCCAACGTACCGGGATCAAAACCCACTGCGGGCTGAGTGGATTTTTATCGTGGTATGGGACGTGGCAGGTCAA